TCTGCGACTGCATCCTGGAGGCCAGCGTATGTCTCGGCTCTGAGATCCGCTTGATTGTCGCGGACCCACCACAACCGGCGCGACTCCGCGCGGCTCCACGCGTCACACACCCACATCTGAAACAAGGTCTTTGCAGAGTGCGGGAGGCCAACGTTGGTGAAACGCCATGTCGTCCCGGGGTGAGCGTCGTCGGTGCAGGAGTCCCGGAGCATGAGCCGGCACGCGTAGAAAGAGGCGCATGGCATTTTTCGGGGCGGTGCCCCCGCGGGAGTACAGAACTGCAGGTCCGAGTGCCAGCCAGGGCCCCCGTAGGGGAAGAGCAGCGGGTAGGCCAAGGGGTCGAGATGCTCAGCAGTCGTTCAGCCGGTAGACGTTGTGAGCTGGGTCGCGCGGCCGCACAGCCACGTCGCGGTGGCCCGCGAGGCTACCGTCAGTGCCAGCGAACAGGACGGACGGCTCGCACGTGGTCGGCGCGTTGTAGCGGCGCATGTCCTGGCCCCCGTCGTTGCGAATGGCCATGCGCACCTCGGGCCGGCCGTTCGCGTCGAGCACGTCGCGCATGCCGCGGTACAGGGGGACGTGCGGGTTGATGTCGTTGAGCATGTCCTGGATCTGGCTAGTGATGTCGCGGTGGAGTGCCTGGTTGCGAACGTCTGCAAGTCGTGTCTGAAGTGCGTCGTTGTGGTCGTAGAGGTAGATTTGCGCGTACTTCGGCGTGTCGGCGCCCCGGGGAAACAGAGCCCCGGCGTGGTGGTAGGCCGCGCCGTGACACTTCACCAGTGGGGGGCCGCCTCCCCGGATCTCGTGGAAGCAGTCCCCGCCGTAGGACACGAAAGAGAAAGCGTGGCTGTAACTTTTCATCGACTCTCGGGCGATTCGATCGGCGGGCGTCGCTCCGATGAGGATGCGTTCCAGTACTGCTGGCGGTCTGGGGAGAGACCGTATCTGCGTGGGCGAGACCAGCCCGCGTTGGCAGCACAAGCTGAAGTGTCCCCGTTGTCCATGGCTCCCCTGCGCCACGCGCTCTTCCGAGAAGTTGTGGGCCTGACAAAGAGAGCATTTGTCGATGAGTCCACGGGATGCGTGAGGAGGTATTGCGCTATCTGTGTATTCTGCCAGGGAGAGCATCGCCAGTAGGTGGCCTCAAATGCGAGCTGCGCGTCGGTGGCAGAAGCAGCTGTCACCCGCGGTCGTCGTCGCAGGGAGGCCGCAGCCACCAGTCCACATGCATCGTGCAGACGGAATGTCGACGGCGGGGTGAGTCGAGGCGCTTGGGGCTGGTGCCGGCGGAGGGGGGACGTCCGCCTCTTGGCATGTCTGTTCGGCCGGAGCTTTGCGCAGGAGCCGGCGCTTCTTCAGCGCAGGGAAGGGGGGGTCCTGCCGGGCTGTGTCATCGTCCGTGAGGGGCGTCCTCTTAGCCGGCGTTGCCTGGGTCGCAGGGGTCGCGGTCGGGCGGCGGCTTCCAGGGGAGGGCGGGCGCGCGGGGGCGGTGGGCGGCGGTCGCTGGGGCGCGGCAGGCGTTGTCTTCAGGCGCAGCCGCCTCTGTGCCGGTGGCAATGGGTGGCGCGGATGCGCCGTCGCGGGTGGACCGGGGTCTGGAGTCTGTTGTCGTGCGTTGGGGGGGCTCTCGCCCTGGATGAGGGCGCGGTGGTGTTGGCAGTAGTGCATGCCGTCGATGGGCTCCAGAATCATGACAGCGGGCTTGGAGCACCGGATGGCGGCTGCAGGGTCCACGAGGAAGGCGCGCATGAGTCGGTGCCGAAGTGCCCAAGTCCAGCCAGGGAGGGAGGCGAGTCGGGCGCGCGCCGGCGGGCAGCACCCGGGCGTGTGTCTGGAGTGCGCCAGACGCTGGCGCTGCACCCACATAGCTAAGTCGCACTCCTGGGCATCGGCGCAGGCCGTTGGGTCGGAGCGAGGGTACGAGCCTGAATGGGTGGATAGCCAATTCTGCATGGCTTGGAAGTGATCGTCCCAACATCTGTCCCAGCCGTGCCATGCCCAATGTGGCAGAGCTTCCAAAGCTTGCCGGCGCTCCAGCCGCATCCGCAGCGCGTCCTTTCTAGCATTCTCTACGAACGAGGCCAGCCGCAACTCCTCTGGTGTCGCCGAAGACCCGCGGCGGGGGCAACGGCTGCCATGAGCCTGCATCCACGCCCGGAGAGCTGCCAAGCTTGCTTGCCAGCAGTCGTCCTTCTCAGTCCACGTCCACGCATCCCATGCCTGAAGCCTGGCTGTTCGGTCTGGGTCGAGAACGCCTCTGCGGTGTTTTCTCCGAGCCTCGTTGATCCAAACTGCGCAGTACCGTTCCTCAGGGGAACTGCTACTGCGGTTTGGCCACCGGCCCTGCTGAGCGCGCCGCGCTTGGACACGCTGGAGGCCAGCCGACCAGTCTCGGGGCGCCCACGTCCAGCCAGGCAGCGCTTGCAGTTCAGCCACGCGGGAAGCTGCCACGGCAACGTCGCGACCCGCGCCTGCCCGCGCGCGGGCGCGAGCGTTGCTGACAAACTTGCCCAGTCGTTTCTCGGTGGCGTCGGTGCTCTTGCAGGACGGGTATTGCCCAGAGTGCGTCGCAAGCCACTCACGCAAGTGGGTAAGGGCTGTGGCCCAACCGTCCGGGCATGCATTCCAAGTCCACCCGGGAATGCGGTCGAGGCAGGCGATCTGGTGCTCGTCGAGGCCGCCTGAACCACGAAGTCGGCGCGTATGCATGAACCATGTGGCCATCGTGCGCTCGAACCCGCGGCTGCGCCGTCGCGGGAACCTCCCGTTGGCGCGCGCCCACTGATGCACTGCTTCCGCTCTCTGTAGGAAGGGCGCTGGCCACCGGCGCGTTGCTTTGGTGTCCCGGGCACTCGGTCGGCGGCGAGCCCGCAGTGCACCTGTCTGGGGTGGCATAGAACCTGTCGGGAGCTCAGGGCGCCGACCTGCTGGAGTCGCAGCCTTTGGGAAGGGTGGCGTGATCCAGGGCTGCGTGGCGTCGGCGCCAGGGCTGCGGGAACCGAAGCGAAATTGCGCCGAGGAGGCCGCGAGTAGCAGGGGGAGGAGAAGGGAAAGGAGAACGAGGAGGGTATTGAGGAAGAGGAAGAGGTGACGGAGACGCAGTGGCTTGATGATGGGGCCCCCAAACGTGGAAACACAAGTATTGGGAATGGTTATTCATTCGCCCGACGGACGGGACATTGACGCCCCCGGACACCTCTGTGGATCATTGCTGCGAGCGGGGCGGTGGTGACAGTGGGGGCCTACTGTAGCAATGCGGCGGAGGAAGCTTTGTGGAGAGGGCTCGGCGGCTTCGGCTGAGAAAGGGGGCGAATGAACCAGGGTGTCGGTTTTGAGGGCGTCCGGGACCCGCGCTCGGAGGTGTCAGGGGGGACTTGCGCTAGGCCACGCGAGACGACAGGCTGCTGCCGTGGTTATTTGTGGGTGTGTCTGTACGTTGAATGTAATGACGCTTGCAGGCCTGTGTGAATGTGCGTCTGCGCCCGTGCGGGTGTGTATGAAGGTGCGTTGGCATATGTGTGTATACATGTGGGCGTAAGTGCGCATGCCTGAGTGCACGCGCAGTGGCGCTCCCGAACACGTGGGGGGGGGGGGGGTCGTTATTGCGAGCGAATTGGAGGGGGCCAGGGGGGCCTTCTGTAGCATTAGACGGCTGGTAGGGATCAGCAGTCAGGCGAATGCTGATCCCTACCAGCACGCTGTTTCCGCTCAGGAGGCCCTGAGGACGCCGTCGGACGCGGCGCGGTCGTCATCGTTGTGGGCGTCGTCGTCGCCGCCGCCGCCGCCGCCGTCGTCGTCGTCGTCGTCGTGGGCGTCGTCGGCTGAATCGCCGTTGGAGTCGGCGTTTTGGTAGGGATCAGCAGTCGGGCGAGTGCTGATCCCTACCAACACGCTGCTGTCGCCCAGGAGGCCCTGAGGAAGCCGTCTGGCGCGGCGCGGTCATCGTTGTCGACATCGTCGTCGCCGCCGCCGCCGCCGTCGTCGTCGTGGGCGTCGTTGTCTGAGTTGTTGGTGGAGTCTGCGTTTTCGTAGGGATGAGCCCTCGGGCGAGAGCTGATCCCTACCGACGCGCTGTTTCCGCCGAGGAGGCCCTGAGGGCGCCGTCGGACGCGGCGCGGCGGTCAGCGTTGTGGACATCGTCGTCGCCGCACTGTCGTCGTCGTCATCGTCGTCGTCGTGGGCGTCGTCGTCTGAATCGTCGTCAGAGTCGGCGTTTTGGTAGGGATGAGCACTTGGGCAAGTGCTGATCCGTACCAACACGCTGATTCCGCCCAGGAGGTCCTGAGGGCGCTGTGCGGCGCGGCGCGGTCGTCATCGTTGTCGACTTCGTCGTCGCCGCCGCCGCCGTCGTCGTCGTCGTCGACGTCGTGGGCGTCGTTTTCTGAATTGTCTTTGGAGTCGGCGTTTGGGGGGGGGATCAGCGCTCGGGCGAGTGCTGATCCCTACCAGCATGCTGTTTCCGCCCAGGAGGTCCCGAGGACGCCGTCGGGCGCGGCGTGGTTGTCATCGTTGTCTGCATCGTCGTCGCCGCCGCCGCCGCCGCCGCCGTCGTCGTCGTCGTCGTCGTCGTCGTCGTCGTCGTCGTCGTCGGCTGAGTTGTCGTTAGAGTCGGCGTTTTGCCAGGGATCAGAACTGGGGGGAGTGCTGGTCCCTACCAGCACGCTGTTCCCGCGGATAGGGAGCGCTGGCCGCGTCTGGGGGCTTCCCATGCGGTGCAGGTATGAAGTCCTGGATGACAGCACAACATCCACTTCGAAAAGTACCACGCCAACGATGTTGCTGTAAGAGTCGCTGCCAGGTGCTCGGTGCAGGCATGTTCGCCCCCGCATGAAGAACCCGCATCGCAGCCCCTCATGGCGCCGCGCAACAACTGAGCCTGAGAACGGAAAGGCCCCTATCACGCCTCGCTAGCAACGACACCGATGACGACGAGACAGATGACGACGTCAACGACCACGACGTGAAAGGGCCCGCGGAGAGCGGGTGCGTGGGCGGACGGCCTCCAGGCTGGAGACGCTGGTCTCCGGCGCGTCGCAGGCGCTGGACACGACGGCCGGCCCGAAGCTCCCCTGCACGCCTTGCCTGTCGCTGGGCCCGAAGAGGCTGAGGCGCTCCATGTTGTCGCCGTGCTCTTCCTCCTCCTCCTCCTCCTCCTTTTCGTCCTCGTCCTCCCCTTCCTCGGGTTCCGGGGACTTTGGCCGACATGGGTCACGGCCCCCTTCGCTTTTGAAGGCCTCGGTGTTAGAGACTGTGCCATCAGAGATCTTTACGTTGCGGCTCGCTCTGGGAGCCCTGGTTTGAAGAGCTTGTCATGTCACCGCTCGCTCTTGAGAGCGTTGGTGCGAAGGGCTTTGTGCCTCACTGATGGCACCTTTCATTGGCGTCTCCGGGCGTTCTCAGTTGTCTTTGTCGGGGTCTTGTTCGGGCCCTAAGGGGGCCCGTCCTATCTTACCAGGCGCTCTTGGGAGCCCTCGTTTGAAGAGCTTGTTATGTCACCGGTCGCTCTTTAGAGCCTTGGTGTAAAGGGCTGTGTGCCTCAGTGATCGCCCATTGGATTTGCGTCTCTGGGCGTTCTTATGGATCCTGGTGTGGGTCTTTTTCAGGCTCTTAGGGAGCCCGTTCTACGTCACCGATCGCCCCTTTGATGGGCGTCCCTGGGCGTTCTTAGTGGTCCTTGTGGGGGTCTTTTTCGAGCATTTGAAGGGCCCGTTCGGGCTGCTCGGGGACCGTTTTGGGACGTCTTGATGCCCTTTTGGGCCGTTACGAGGCGTCTTGGGGGCCGACCGTCATGGAGCTCTCGTGGGGGCTTCCTGGGGCTCTTTTGCGAGCCTCTTGGGCCTCTCTTGGGGCCGTGTTGGGGCCACGTAGGCCGTTTGAGGGGCGTCTTGCGGCCCTCTTGGGACGTCTATGGGGCCTCTTGGGAGTCGATGGGGTCGTCTTGGGGCGATTTGGGAGGCCTCTTGGCGAGTCCTGGGCCGCTGAGGAGCACACAAGGCGGATATGCTGAAAATGTACGTTTTCCGATAGGAATACGACGATTTGTGCCTCTTTGGCGTGCGCTCGGGGCCCTCTTGGGGCGTCTTTGGGAGCCACCTTCCGAAGGCTTGGGGCCCTCGTGGGCCGTCTCGGGACCCGCTCAGGCCGTCTTGGAGCGCTCTAGGGCTGACCCGTGGACTACGTCCACTTGCGGGGTGGAGGGAATACTGCTGGAAGGTGCACCTGATGACGTTGGGCTCCTTGTTCGCCTGGCCAACGACGCTTGTCATGAGGACCCTCTCGAAACGCTCTCGGAGACTTCATGGCCGCCGCTTGTTGTGCTGAGTGCTGCCTGCTGCTACTCGCTGCTGTTTGCTTTGTCGTTCTTCTGCTGCCGCCTGCGGTTTGACTGGTGTGGGCTGCTGCTTGCTACGGCTTGGTGCTGCTGCTAGCTTTTTGCCTGGTGCTGGATGTTGCTGCATGCTGCATGATGCTGAATGACGCTTGCGTTGTCAACGCGTGCTGCTGATGCTGCACGGCTCTGTAGTGTCTGCGAAATGCCTGTCGCCTCTCGTCCGCTCCCACCCTCCTGGAGGCAATTCTGAAACCACTTAGGGCCTCGTGGGGGCCGTTTCGGAGCCACTTGGGGTCTTCTGGGCCTCCCGGGGAGGCTCTTAGGGCCCTCTGGGGCCGTCTTGGGTGCCTCTTGGGCCGTCTTGGGGCCAGCTGAGGCCGGCTTGGGTGCCTCTTGGGCTGTCCTGGGCCGTCTCGGGCCGCTCTTGGGGCCGTCTTGGGTGCCTCTTGAGCCGTCTTGGGCGCCTCCTGGGCCGTGCTGGGGCCGTCTTGGGGAGTCGTGGGGCCGTCTTGGGGCCCTCTTGGCCCGTCTTCGGGCTCTCTTGGGGCCCTCTTCGGCCGTCTTGGAGCTGTCTGGGGGACCTCTGGGACCGTCTTGGAGCGTCGGGAAGCCGAAAAGGCGAGGAGGCCGAAAACATCGAAAAACATAATGGAAATCATCGATTTTTGCCACTCGGGACCCTCTCTTGGGGCATCTTGGAGACCTCCGGAGCCGTCTTGGGCCAATCTTGAGCGTCTTGGGCTCATTTTTGGGTGTGCCAGGGCCCTCTGGGGCCATCTTGAAGGTCTCTTGGGGCCTTCCTTGGCGCGTCTTGGAGCGTCTCGGAGCGCGCCGGGGCCTGCTGGGGCCCGTCTTGGGGCCCTCTTGGCCCGTCTTGGGGCTCTCTTGGGGCCCTCTTCGGCCGTCTTGGAGCGGTCTGGGGGACCTCTGGGACCGTCTTGGAGCGTCGGGAAGCCGAAAAGGCGAGAAGGCCGAAAACATAGAAAAACACAATGGAAATCATATATTTTTGCCACTCGGGGCCCTGATGGGAAGCCTCTTGGGAAGCCTCTTGGGGCGTCTTGGAGACCTCTGGAGCCGTCTTGGGCCAATCTTGAGCGTCTTGGGCTCATTTTTGGGCGTGCCGGGGCCCTCTGGGGCCATCTTGAAGGTCTCTTGGGGCCTTCCTTGGCTCGTCTTGGAGCGTGTCGGAGCGCGCCGGGGCCTGCTGGGGCCCGTCTTGGGGCCCTCTTGGCCCGTCTTGACGCTCTCCTGGGGGCCTCTTCGGCTGTCTTGGAGCGGTCTTGGGGACCTCTGGGGCCGTCTTGGAGCCTCGGGAAGCCGAAAAGGCGAGAAGGCCAAAAACATCGAAAAACACAATGGAAATCCACGATTTCTGCCACTCGGGACCCTCTTAGGAGGCCTCTTGGGAGGCTTCTTGGGCCGTCTTGGAGGTCTCTGGAGCCGTCTTGGGCCAATCTCGAGCGTCTAAGCCCATCTTTGGGCGTGCCGGGGCCCTCCGGGGCCGTCTTGGTGGCCTCTCTGGGCCCTTTTGGCGTGTCTTGGGGCCTCCCGAGGCGGCCCGGGGCGGCCCGGGGCCAGCCTGGGGCCGTAAAGGGACGATTTTGTGCACTTGAGTGCCTGACTTTCTCGCACGCGCTTCCACCCGCTATGTAGGAGAGACTAGTGTGAACCCGTGGAAAATCCACGGCCCGCAGGTCCAGGCATTGGTCCCGAACGCGCACGTGTCGGAAGCACTGGAAGCGTCAAAAGTAATGTGTTTTTGCTAATCGCGCGAGGCCTGGGCGCGATTAGCAGAAACACATAAGTTTTCACACGCAATCAAAGTAAGGGGGCCCGAACGATCGTACAGAGTCCCTGTGCGCGAGAAGTTCGATGTGGGGGGTGGACGCGTGGGGGCCAGAGTTGGGAGCTACGTTGGGGGGCCTCGTTTGAGGGCCACGTTGGGGGGTCTCGTCAGGGTGTCATGATTGGGGCCAACGTTCGCGGCCCTGCCGGGGGCCATGTTTGGGGGCCGCGTGCGGGGTTCGGGGGCACATGTGACGGTCGCGTTTGAGGGTTCGGGGGCAGATGTGACGGTCACGTTTGAGGGCAATGGTTGGGGGCTGTGTGTGTTGGGGCCACATTTGGGGGCGCCTGGGGGCTACGCGTGGGGTTGACGTTCGGGGGCCACGCTTACTGGGGCGGTAGGGGCGACCTTTGGAGGCTTTGTGTGGGGGCCGCCTTTGGGGGTCCCGTTTGGAGGCCGCGCGTGGGGCCGACGTGTAAGGGGCCACGTCCAGGGGCGATCTCAGAAAGCAGTCGGGGAGCCCCGGGGGCACTGACCTGGAAGCGTGAAAAGGAATGGGTTTTTGCTAATCGCGCTGGGACTGGGCGCGATCAGCAAACTCAAGGGTTTTCAGGCACCGTCAGAGTGAAGGGGCCACGTTAGCGGGCCCGCGCAGGGTGGTCCTGGGGCCATCTCGGGGTTCTTGGGCCGTCGAGATGGCCGTCTCGAGAGCTCTGGCAGATCGAAGCCAGCAGAACCGAGAGAGCAGCGGTGAGGCCCCCGATACAGCCAAGGGTGCGGGTGCTGGTATACGTAGGGCCCCCGAACTGGCTGTAGTGGCCTGCGGGCAATGTCTCTGCGGGCCTGGGTAATGGGTAAGAGATCTCGTGAATGATGGTTGGGATCTCATGGCTGGCCTCTCGGGAGCCTCTGGGAGACAGTTTGGGGGCTTCTTGGTAGCAGTTTGGGGGCGTCTTGGGGCCTCTTGGGCCCTCTTTTGGGGCCTCTTGGGGGTCTTTTGGGGCGCTTGGCGGCCTCTGGGGGGCCTCTTGGAGCCTCTTTGGGGCGTCCTGGGGCCTCCTGGGGATGTCTTGGGAGCGTCCCGGCGTTTCTTTGGGGCGTCTTGGGGCTTCCTGGGGGCCTCTTGGGGTGGAGGCCTAAATTTTTCGGTTCCAGGTCCCTGTCTGGGGCCTCTCTTGGGGCCTTCTGGGGGCCCTCTTGGGCTGTCTTGGGCGACTCCTGGGCCGTCTTGGGGCCCTCTTGGAACCGAAAACGCGAGAAGGCCAGAAACATATGAAAAAACACAGAAAATCAACGATTTTGGCTTCTGCGGCCCCTCTTGGAGGTACACTTCGAGCGCTCTGGGGGCCTCGTGGACGCGTCCCGGGCCGTCTTGAAGGCGTCTTGAAGCAATTTTGAGCGTCTCGGATCCACTCTTGGACCGTCTTGGGCCGTCTTCGGGACCTCCTGAGGCCGTCTTGGGGCGATCTGGGAATCCTGGATCAGTCCGCCAGCGGTCCGGGGGCCTCCCGGGCCCGTCGGGCAGCGGCCCGGAGGCTCTCCGGGCGGCCCGCGAGCTCTCTGGGCGGCCCGAGGCGCTGCCACTGCCTGACCTTCTCGCGCGCGCTTCGCCCGGAATTGTAGTACAGACTAGGGCTGACCCGTGGACTCCGTCCACGACATCTTTCTGGAATGGTTCTCGGAGGAACGGCGCAGATTGCACAGAAAATCTACAAACACGGCGGCGGCTCGGGCGGCGGCAGCGAGACCGCGCCTTCGTGTCCGAGCTCTTGCAGCGCTCCAGCAGCTTGGCCCCGGCGCACTGCTCGTTCACCCCCCTCCTATTGAGGGCAGTCTCGAAGTCTCTCGGGGATGTGCGTCGAAGTCGAAGCCGATCTGAGGCGTCTCAGGAGCGCCTGCGGGAGAGCTCGGGAGGCCATCGGGGAAAACCGCCGAAAGCGTCGGGGAGGCTCGCAAGGATCTGCAGGGAGGGCCCAAGAGAGCTTAAAGAAAATTTG